TTTTGGCCCTATTCCTCCACCTCGCTTCCCTTTTTGATCAGCAGAACTTCGAACTCGAAGCGGGGTTGAAGAATGAGCGCTTTTCTGCGCCGTGTATTCGGAAAGATGGGCTATCGTGCGATTGTTCATTCTGTCTTCGCGTTTTTTGCTCAAAACTACTTCATTTGTTCCAGGAAGCGGCTGCCCAGTTTCCATAGCCATCTGCCACGAATTAGGGAGTAGGAAAAATCCTGAAATTGCATGAGTTGGGACTTGTTTCTTTTTTTGATGATTTTGGGCGTTCCCAGCCTTTTTCGTTTCTCCATATCGCTGCTTCTCCGTTCTTTCTTCTACCCCGCTTCTCCTAGTGATGAGAAAAGCTGTGAATTAGAAGCGGGGTTGAGGATTGAACGCTGTTCTGCTCCATGTATCCGGGAATATGGGCCTTCGTGCGCTCGTCCATCTTCTCTGCCATTTTTGTTCGGGCCTACTTCATGTGTTCTAGAGACTTGTCTATTTCAATTTCAATACAGATGCGAGACTACGCAGCGACTTGTTAGTACACATGAAGTAGGTCTGAACAAAAATAGCGATGAGAGAATGGACGAGCGCACGAAGGCCCATATTCCCGGATACATGGAGCAGAACAGCGTTCAATCCTCAACCCCGCTTCTAATTCACAGCTTTTCTCATCACTAGGAGAAGCGAGGTAGAAGAAAGAACGGAGAAGCAGCGATATGGAAAAAGAAAAAGGCTGGGAACGCCCAAAACCATCAAAAACAAGAGACAAGTCCCAACTCATGCAATTTCAGGATTTCTCCTACTCCCTAATTCGTGGCAGATGGCTATGGAAACTGGGCAGCCGCTTTCTGGAACAAATGAAGTAGTTTTGAGCAAAAAACACGAAGACAGAATGAACAATCGCATGGTAGCCCATCCTTCCGAATACACGGCGCAGAAAAGCGCTCATTCTTCAACCCCGCTTCGAGTTCGAAGTTCTGCTGATCAAAAAGAGAAGCGGGGTGGAGGAATAGGGCCAAAATGAGTGAAATATAGAAGAAAAACCCTTGAGAACGGTCAAAATCCTCCAACTCCCGCCGTTCAGAACGGTGCGGGGCGGCTGCAGCGCATGCAGCACAGTTCTGGAACTGTTCCCGCACAGTTCCCGCACAGTTCCCGCACAGTTCCAGCACAGTGCGAGAACTGTGCGGGAACAGTTCCAGAACATGGGAATCAGTATGAACCCAGCCTCAGCAGCAAAGGCCTGGATGTCCAACCTTCATTCTCCTTTGCGTCTTTTTCTTCTCCTTAAACCGCTAATTCCTTCAAAACTAAGGAACAGCTCCTTTAATAAATGTAAAGACTTGTAAAGTAAGTGTAGCCAACATGCTTCTGTTAACTGCTTTATTTTTTTCGCGTGCTTCCAACTTCCGCATACATTCTCACAGTCTTTTTCTTCTTTTTCTGCTCCATGCTCCTATGCCGTATAAATGTCAATGAATGGCGACCCTCAGGACAAAGTTGCAATTGTCAGAGACCCATCTTATAGCATCAACTTAGAGGCAAGTGACAAAGCTTGAGGTTGTTCGCAAAACTCTTTATATTGAATAATGCTTTGAAAACGTAGGACAAATCTTCAAACGTTACAAACACGTTGGTTACCAGCGGTACGCAAGCACGGCTCAGTGCGTGTCTTTCTCTTACATCTTTGGAAACGACATTCCGTTTGATCATGCTACTTTCACAAAGTTTCGCTTGATACATAGCAACACGTACAGTAATTAATGGCATTTGAAAAAAAAAATGCAGGATGTAAAAACAGTTGTTCGAAGTAAATAGTAAGCGAATTAAGCCAACAGTGACAAAGTGCATAGAAGGGGAACAAAAAACAGAAAAATAAAAAAAAACATAAAGATAAAAGTTTAAGCCGCAGTTGGAAACTCCAAGGTAAGCAGCATCCGCAATGGAGGAGATTGGAGTAGCAGTATCTATTGCAGTGAGTTGTTTTCTGATTTTCAAAAGAAGAGCTGAACCTGATTATCGGCTATGGATAGATTTTCGATAGGGAATTCGTCCATGGAAGATAAGCACATATTAACTAGATCTTACAATAATATGTGTTCCAAGCTGACTCAGTCGTGTTGGTGGCGTCCTGGACGAGAACTAACTGGGTAAAAGCATTTGGTCACATAAGCTCTTAAAAATTATTGCATAATGCTCCAAATACTAATGTATGTATGTTCGAATTCCAAATACCATGTCTATGATTCTTGCGCTGTGAACAAGCCAATTTTCTATTTCATCATGAAAGATACTGCGAAATTGTCAGTCTTGCAACAACGGTTTATGAAGCATGTGCTTGTCTGAAGGGAGGTGTTGTAAAACCTAATTGCCCACGTCATGACTTGAACAACAGCGTAGGCAAGCGGTTGTCGCGAGGAGCATAGGCAGTCACATTCGTTCATAAATTCTCCGGTCAACATTCATGTTGTTTTCAACAAAGCATATTAAAGGCAGCAGCTCGAACCGAACATCCCGAAATTTTGACATGGAAGATTGCTTGCACCTTAAACATGAGAACAGAGCAGGTCCAAGCGCACAGCATGCTGCCCTTGTCAGAAAACTGCCCCTAAATCCATCAATACGCGCGGACGAGCTTCCGATTCTCCCTGACCCGTCAGAGAAGGCATGTCGCAATGTTATGACTGCGAGGGTCCCGCAACGATTCTGCCTCTCTGACCATGGCGGGACGTGCTCCACTCGTCCAAAATCAAAATGGGAGGCTTTGGGAAATGATGGTTTTTGCCATTTTCGCGCCTTTCAAGGTGGATCTTCGGAATCAGCGCCTCGAATTACCCCAAGTAAGCAAAAAACTTCAAGTCGAGAATCTGCGGTGCCGCTACCCGAGTTGACTAAAATTGACCTTGAAACTTCATAAAAATACACTGTCGCTTGATAGTCTGTAGTACTTCGGGACCCCACGCCTCCACATCTCCAACGCGTTGGTGTTTAAAGCTAAGGTGGGCATTGAGCTTACAAGCTTTACAAAGTCTATACTTTTGAATGGCAGTTTGCTATGAGATACATGTCGCATGGGGCACTTTTGAATGCTAATCTTAAACCTGCATTCGTATCTGCGCAACGCTGAAAAGATTTACGGGAGCTTGAAACTTCCAATTGTTGGTCTTTCACAAGAAAGGCAACGCTCCTAATGTGCTTGAGCTACCAGTGACGTAGTGGATAGCATTGAATGTAAGCAATCAACCGTTCCCGATGGAGAGAACCTCCACTCTGGGTGTAAGCTCCATAAGCATTCAAAATTACCCTAATTTCGTACAAGGCGCGGGGGATGTTTTTCCAAAATTGACTAGCCCAGATACGCCAAAGAACTTTGCAATCAAAGGACCCTATGCCGTGCTGTATATTGCTTAAGAGAATCGTACGGCATAGGGATCGCTTTCCGAAATACTTTAAAGCGGATAAGGGGTTTGATTGAAAAATCGAAAAAGATGCGCCTTGTACGCGTGAGATTAGGGTACCTGTAGACATCTGCAGTGATGTCATGTCTTTGGCATATTATACCTTTAAAAAAGTCTTTTCTAGTGCTAAGAGCAGTGGCAACGCCCTCGTACTTTTGAAGGGCCGAAAGTTAGGAGTTTCGTTTACCTTCTATAAAAGCGTTCCGCACATACGTCAAAAGTGCCCAAGACGATATGCGTCTCCTACCAAACTGCCACTCGAAACTACGTCCTTGACCGGTTGCTTGTATGCCTGTATAGCATATTTTACGATACCCCTTGCTCCATGAACGAAGTCCACCGTAATTCCAGAATTAAGCGCTGAGCCATGTACGCGAGGGTTGAGAGAGAGAGAGAGAGAGAGAGAGAGAGAGAGAGAGTTACTCTCATGCACCTTGAAGGGGCTAATGAACTAGCTAGGTGAACGAAACAGAAAGAATTTTCAAAACTCAAGAGTTCGGTGCTGGCGTCTTTACATTTCCGTAAGCACCTGATCCTCTCAAAACCCATGCTTTGTTTGTTCTCACGGATACACAAGAACACCACAACGACTACAACGACGACAGCATCCGAGTTTACATCAGAGCTGAATGTGCACACAATGCATTTAAAGGACCAGCCGCACTCACATATCGCGCGTTGGCGCTGTTCACTAACCTAAACGATATACGATGTCCTTTGAAACAAGAGTGATGTAATGAATCATGACATCCAGAATAGTCATCTGAAGAAGGCCTGGATGGAATAAAAGGTGCCATGAGGAAAAACGCTCAAAGATTTGATACCTCCGTCCTATGCGCGACAAAAATCATGTCCGGTATCAAGACAGATCTCATTTAAGCATAGAAGCAAGAAAAATGGCAATCCGCTGCTACAAAAACGCAAAATCTAATAAAAAGAAGGCCCGCGATGTTGTGCTCAGCATGGTCCCTACACGCGGTGCGTACGGTAAAGCTCGCACATAGATGTGTGACTCACTACGCGGCGCTGGCCCCGTTAGGGATCGTTCATACCGCGCACAAAGGCGGACGAAGCCGGACAAAGCCGGACAAAGGCGGACGAAGACGGACGAAGACGGACGAAGGCGCGTCTTGTCTCGTCTCGTTTCTCTCGAAACACACATACACACACTCACACACGCCTCGTCTCGTTTCTCTCGACACACACACTCACACATGCCTTCGTCCGCCTTTGTGCGGCTTCGTCCGCCTTCGTCCGGCTTTGTCCGGCTTCGTCCGGCTTCGTCCGCCTTTGTGCGCGGTATGAACGATCCCTTAAACGCATTGTACTTACAGGCTCTCCTAGCCATCGGCCGTATAAAATTTTAAGCAAAAATCAGAGGTGTTTCTAACCTTTTCATTTTATGTTTGACTTATCGGTATTCGCAAGCTTATGATAAAGTAAATTTGGTGTGATTCTTACGACAACTCATGCAAATTGCAAGTTTGACTTTTTTGTCACTTAAAAAGTTAATTTTGCAGAAAATTCCAAAGTCTTGGCATTATGTGCTTTATAACCGTTCAAGGTACACTAATGGCATATCTTATAGCAATGCAGGTGAGCCGCCTTTTTAAAATCAAGACGGCATATGAAATTTTTTGAACATCAGATAAGAAACAAAGTAGCTTGTCTAATAATGTCTGAGTAATTTGCAGATCCAACTAGTGTTCGAGTGTACCTTCACGCCATACCAGGAAGAGTTTGCTGCAAGCGTCAAGTATGAGATGCTGAAGGAAAATGAGCGGGAATGCCTGCAAGCGTGCTACGAAGAACCTGACTGCACTTTTGCACAATTCGCTCAGCTCATCACGGTCTTCTTGATTTATTTCTGTGCCAAGGTTTCCTATCGATTGGAAATGCGGTCAACAAATGTTTCAGGGCGTGTGCACTATCTACAAGAACAGCTCTGAAACCCAAAATGGTACTGGATTGGTGTACAGCCTTGATCGGGAACTTGTAACATCGCATTGTCTGCAACCTTTACCGGTTGCACCTGAGTTGGAATTTCAAACCATCTTTGAACAAGTTGTCAAACAGAATGAAACTGAGCGAACTAGGCTGCTTGCCCAAAACACTTCTGCTCCATTGACTGCCATCTACGAATTCAATTACGCTGGAAGGCCTTTCTACTCACAGAAAGCTTCGCTGTTTTCGGACGGCAGAAATCCACTATACAAGTAATTTTTCTATTTTGTCACCGACAACTCGCAATCGTATGCACAAAAATTAGGTCTTCATCTTCTTTCCGTCCGTCTCTATCATTGAGAAACGTTATGTAAACATATTTCCTACATATAGGCTGCTGCATGACGAAGGCGCAATACCTTTTGGCGCGAACGCGGCTTTATTAGAAGCAGAGAGCGAGAGGCGCAGGATTTTTAACGGTGAAGATAGCCGGCGCGTCGCGATCGCGCCCGCTCAACTAATGTCGCTTCTGCGCTTTCGTCTTGCAGTGGCCTTTGACTTCTGATTTAGGCTGACTGGTAAAGGTTTGTAGCAGAATATCGGAAGTAATCAATGCACAATCTCGTATGCATCTCCTAAAAACAATGAAAGATTTAGATTCCATTTTAGGGCAGTGGCGTACCAAGGATTTCGATCAAAGAGAGAGGGTTGGGGGGGGGGTGACAAACAATTTTTTGAGTGAAAGTGCGTGGAGTCAGCCGCTCCGAAAATTTTTTGGAGTACTTCCCAAAATTTTTGCAGGTACTTAACGGCGAAATTTCAAAAAGGGGACGTGGCTACCGCACGCTCCCGAAAAAATATTTTTTTACAAGGTTAATCTGAATTTTTGAATCTCAAAAATTATTTCACTTATTTACGAGTATAAACAAGTCACTTGCACATTTTTATAACACATCTAAGTAACATTCAAAAATTCCGCAAGAACATATGTCGCGGACATGCTAGATCCAGACAGCTGGTACATATCTGCAGTATCCATAACAAGCATGGCTGAATCAAAGCAGTTTTTTTTTGAAAAAAAAATGAATAAAACGAAAATCTTTATGGGGCAACAAAAGTCATCTTTTATTTGCAAGTTACAGGATCCTTTTCGCTGGAGAACCTCAACCAGGCTGTTCATCAGTTCCTGTTTTCACGACTGCAAGTGAGATGTTGATTATTTTTGGCTGCAGTGTTTAGTACGTTATTGGAAAGATCAAGGAATTAGTTGTCTTGAAATACAAAATATAAATTAAAGAAACATAGAGACTTGCGTAGCCCACTCCCAACCACTCCCAGTTCATTTGCCTCATTTTGAATATATTTGAAATGAGGTACCCAAAACCCATAGGATTTGGGGTTTTCGTTAGACTATCTACTGATGTTCGTCGCTGGTCGTACTATGAAAAGGAAACGCAATAAGTTGAAGTTGAAGGCAAGAGCTATCCGTTTTCACAGCTGCTTATTTACCCTAATTCTACGCGTACAAGGCGCAATTTTTTGTACCATCAAAAAATATTTCGTTCCCTTCCCGATATTGAACGTCATACCAATCATCAAGAGGGTTTTCACTTCGACGAGATTGCAGTTCAAAACAGTAGTTGGACGAAATACTTCTGAATGTGCTTGTAAGATTCCCCACGATGTGCTGGCCGAATTAGGCAGTGCCACGGGTCATCAAAAGACCGTTTGAAGGCTTAGCATATGCACAAACTTGATTTCGTATAATGTTGCCGAAGTACAATGCTTTCAGCAGCTGTTTAATAAGCAACAACATTCCCTCAAAAAATTCAGAGGTCACTTTCGTATAAGAGTAAAACAGGGGCGCAGGCTAAGCCACTAAATTCCTCTACACCACTCGCGACAACTCGAAAATTATTGTATAAAAAGGCATTTATATGAGTGCTAAAGCTTAGTCAGAAAGTCGCTTCCACTTCGTTCAAGGGAGTATCCATGCACTGGAGACTTATGGAATTCTTTGAATCACAAAAATATCTTCTTATCCGCCATCTCCGACTGCTACTGAATGTACCGCCAATTTTCATAAGAGAGCATCTCTACAACGAAAAAAGACACATGAAAAAACCTTGTAAATAATCTTGAAGTCTTGCTTTTCCAATTGCGTTTTTCATAGGCAAAGGCTTGCCCAATCTAAGAAATTTGGGTTTGTCGAAGAATGTGATTTTGAAAGACGTTATAATGTTTTGACATTGGAGATTACAGAACGGGCAGAACTACATATCCACACTATTTACTCGACAGAAAACGCAAAGACTGACGATCCGCATTTTTTTCGCTTTTCCTTCATAACCTCCTTCATATTGCATGAAATATGAATTGGAAAAAGGATAATGTCCGCTCGTCAAGCCGAATCATATGTTATACTACATTATCTTGCTACTACGTATTCAGTCTGCTCAAATTTTTTGTAGGGACGGGTGTTCGCAGTGGTGTAGAGCAGCGCAAAATATACATGGAAGACTCTAATGAACTTGAATTGTAGAGCCCCGTGTTTATCGCGCGTCAGCAATTAGCGGGAGATCTCTTTTCCAGAGAGGAAAATAGGCCGCTGAATTGGAAAAATCTGTGTTCTTCAAGCTTAGTGCCGTAACCTCACAGTAAGAAGCTAGCTTGCAAAGCAGATGTGTTTTTCGCAATCAGTAGGCTGGATAATCTTTATGCGCAAGTTTTGCAAGATTCAAGCCCTCTGGCTTTTCTCGTCTTAGCCCCTATGCATAGCTCACGCGAGGAAGTTGTCGCGATTTCCGATCGCGACGATTTGCTTGGTGTGGCTACGAAGACTGAGTCGCTCATCGGTCGGAGGCGTGCATACCTCTGACGCAATTTATGCACGTGCATGCAAAAACACTCATAAATTGCAAAAAACAGCAATATTTTAGGCTAAAGAAATCATAACTCGCAAAAAGAACACGACACATCAATAATATAGAAAATGGTAAAAAATCACGCGACGGTCGCCCCATCGCTTGCCGCAAATAGGCGACGAGACATCGCGCCGACTCGGCAAAATCGCAACGATTCCGCCACGTGAGCTATGAACGCCGAAAAATGTGTAGCGATCCGTTGCGCCGCGTAGCCATCAAAAATGCATTGGGACCCACAGACTTAACAGCGTGAAGTAGAGCAGTTGTCTAATGCAGAACGCGACGCGACGAAAATTCTGCCCAGGGCCTCAGGCACCGCACTGAAACTTCTGAAGCTCTGACTGGTTTTGGCTAAGATACTGATGATCTTGGATGACCGCAAACTTCGCCCATGGAGGTTTACGGACCCGTTGATTACAAAAATGGTGCTCTTTGTGCACCGTTCTTTTAGCAGGGTCATGATGAGAGAAATTCTGTGATACACTTCCTGTTGCCTGCTCTTCTCGCGTATCTCGGGGGGGGGGGGGGGGGGAGTCTTTCACCCAAGCCAAATCCTCGCACTTAAAGGCAGCGTCCGGGCAAAAAGTCGATTTTGAGATTTTGTGCTTACCCGGGCCTATTCGCTATGCTGAATCCGAAAATCACCACTAGAGAGCGCGAAAACGGCGAAAAAGGGGTCTAACGCAGGAGGAATATCAGCAGGGGGCGGAGCGTCCGAGAAGGTGGATTCTCGCTTCCAGCTTCCGGAGCAATCTTCTCGGTTCCGATCTCAAATCACTCGTTTGTACTTGGCCGGTAGCGATGTTAGGGCGACTAAAGGAACCGAGAAGATTGCTCCGGAAGCTGGGAGCGAGAATCCACCCTCTCGGACGCTCCGCCCCCTGCTGATTTTCCTCCTGCGTTAGAAAGTTTCCCCTTTTTCGCCGTTTTCGCGCTCTCTAGTGGTGATTTCCGGATTCAGCATAGCGAATAGGCCCAGGTAAGCACAAAATCTCAAAATCGACTTTTTGCCCGGACGCTGCCTTTAAGGGTGTGCCTGCCAGGCTCCGGGCTCGCTATAATTACGAGCTCCTCAGGAGACCAAGACATCGCAGGTTCCCTTATCCAGCGTCGCTCCAGATGCTGAAACCGGAATTTCAAAGAAACTTTCAGAGTCGAAGTTCAGAAGTGAATTTGCTCAATCGAGACCAAATTTCGGGTGTATTCGAGGTTGCTCTCTTCAGTAGTGAAATTTGTTTGTTACAAATTTAACGTTCAGCACAGCTAATGCTTGAACAGGATCAAAATTTGGATTCAAGGGTTTTCGATTTCCTTTTCCAAATCAAGACCAAGTTCAGATTTACGGGTTCTGAATCGCTTTTTCATAACGATGGTATGTTTTATGCTCAATAGCGATTTGGTTTACTAAACAATTTTTGGAAACAAGGTGTGAGAATTGCGAGAATTAGCAGTGAATAGCATATCTGATAGCATATCTATCTATCTACCTATTAATAATAACATACCTATCTATCTATCTCGAATAGCATATCTATCTTGCCGTGGTAACATAGGAAACGCGCATAAATTATACCAAATACTTCAGAATCTAACTTGTTGCTTTTTGGTGAGGCGTATCCATATCGTTGAGGCGTTTTCCACATCTTGGTGAGGCGTTCATATTTTGGTGAGGCGGTATCCTGGTAAGGCGTTTTCCGTTTCCATATAGAATGGGTCAGTGGCGCATCTTGCATTACAAGGCAAATGTTTTAGATGGACTATTTCCAAGTCTGTGCATACTCTGACGATTTTTAGCAGATGAAAAGAAGGGAGATGAACGTAGAAATTATTAGGTTGGTGCAAAAGTAATGCGCGTTTTTCTAGCCCTCGTTTCAAGATAGCTTATCTCCATCGGAGTTTCTCCTATGAAACTTACCCAGCATATTGTCAAGAAGCTTATTTCATGCTCTATTCAATGGTGGTTGAAAGAAGCTTTAGCCTCATTCGTTAAAAATTTATAGAGCTTCATACAACCGCACTCAAAACCAGAATTTCATTGCACTTACTTTTTGGGCCAGAATTCAAGCGCGAGTAAAGGCATTTTTTTGAAAATTTAACTACTGTATGTAGTGGAAATTTTCTATGTTATGAATCCTTTACTGTTTCCCTAGAAATCACTTAGACTGAGATCTCGGCGCCTCAACATGAGTGATGGTTTTGGCCATTCTGTGACCCATAGATTGCCTTTGCAGAGGGCAATCGCCAAAGTTCTGCTCATTTCTGTAAGGGTAAGAGTGGTAGTCTTTTGACAGTTTTACAGAAATGTGGAAGCTGTTCAGTACGCAGATCCAAAATCTCCATAATCTGAAATTT